TATACATTCCAATTTAAAAAATCAAAGGCAAACTGATTTGTATTTATAGTTTGCCCACTGCAATGTTCATGACCTTAATACGGACAATTTACAAAAATATCCAATATTTTTGAAGTCACGTGAAAAGTGTTTAACAGGGCCTTACCTTCCCGTACCAGGGGCTTTAAACCGTGCAAAGGCCCTGGGTACGAGGTTGCATTGGAACATTGCGCGTTAGAACGCAACATGGCACGACGTCGCCGGCACACACACATAACGAAACAACAACAAAAAGTCAACAAAGAAATCCCTTCTTTAAAGCCAAGTACCAATGGAAGAGTAAAACAGGAGCCCTTACATACCGCACGAACCACAGCTTTGGGAACCTGAATTTGAAAAATGAAGATTAATTAAATTGGCATAGACCTGTCATATAAAAAGCGGATTTATGTCTTGTTGTGGGTTTTAGGCATACCATCAACAACGGGTTCATTATAGATTTACGGGAGTACATGGATTTTGGAAATTGCAGTGATTTCTGAATTTATTATATACATGACAAAATTACTGCAATCTGATTGGTTAAGAGGAGTGCAATTATTTAATTATTGCACTCTCCAGGAGTGCAATTAATGATTTTCGTGATGGCTGGGGGGAGCTGGAAATCAAAACAACCAAATCCAATATGGCGGCGAAATTTAGATAAGTATTTCTAACAAATGTGGACGAATTTAACTGAATTTTGGCACAAGAGTGAGTTTAAGAAACATTGTATGGCAAAAAGAGCCTGTGGGAAATACCTGGAAACAGTCTTAAGAAAGAATCTTGGCGGGATGCAGCGAAACGTGACTATGTAAGTTTGAAATACAATTTATAAAGATTTTCTTAGTCTAAAATATGTTGTTTGAGTTTGAATCTTGTGTTCTAGTTTAAGTTATGTGCCTTTATGAGTTTATAATCATTTCCCAAGTTTGTTTATACCAAATTGCTTACAAAATAATTAAAAACTCTTGACAAAATGCAGTTGAAATATAAAGAAAGCGATTTTGTCATGCATATAATAAATAAATAATCACACGGGCAAGTCGTGCAATTAATGATTAACACTACTCGTGATATTTGAAAAATGTGCCAAATTGCACTCGCCTCGGCGGCTCGTGCAATTTTGGCACATTTTTCAAATATCACTCGTAGTGTTAATCATTAATTGCACTCCTTCCCGTGTGATTACCTATACTAATATACAATGCACATGACATGACATGACAAAGTTGGATTGCCTTTTTATACACCCTGTATATAGTAATCTTTTGCAGAAAATTTTGAGCCTAGCTAAATCCACTCAGAAAGAAAAAAAATACATTTTCCACTCAAGCTGACAGAATTAAAAGTATAATCACCAACACCTATACGTACCATCCAAGAGTTTCCCATGGTACACCGCCATGCCAGCGATTCTACCGATAAATTTGAAGTACTTCAAATGTTCTTCATTGCACAGTCCCGAGTTGGGATTGATTTGTAGCGTGTATGTATCACTGAAAGAAAGAAGGAAAAAATTGAGCAAATAATGTGAATCAAAAGTTAAAGGCGCAGTTCAGCCTTTTGAATGATGGTTTTTAAGGCGCATTACAAACCTTTTAATCAGCATAATTTAAGATCAGCAAAATTAATGTTTTTAACATTTTAAAACATTTTCACTGTTAAAAAACATTGAGTTTACTGATCTTGAATTATGCTTTATTGATTTTCCTATTTTAAATTATAAGGGTTGAAATGCACCTTAAAAACCATCATTCAAAAAGCTGAAATGTGCCTTTAAAAGCATTCATAGGTATTTTAATGTTTATATTTTCTTACTTAGCTGAATATTCGAAGAGGCCATAATATGGATTGAAAACTTCTTTCGAAAGCAAGTAAAACCATTCCCTACGGAAAAGTCAGAAAAGGATACTATATAAAACATGGGGTATTCGAGTTTCATTTTGTACCAATACTGGGCCAGTAAAGGAAAGGACTTTCAAGTACTTCTTTACAAATTCAAGGATATTCAAAGCTTTGAATGTTTGTTTTCAAATTCAAGGACATTCAAGGACTTTCAAGTTTTGTACGAACCCTGGACTGGACTCTATGTTTAAAATACGAAGTGTCAGTCCCGGTCGGGATGTGTTTTGTCTGACTTAGCATATTTTTTTTCTTGAAAACTTTTCAACTCCTCCCGCCTTTTCAAACTCTCAAAAGGTTAGGTTAGCGGTTAAGGGGTTAGAGAATGGGGTAGGAATCGGTTTATCTCAAAATTCAACTTCAACTATAGTCACTATATAGCCAGCAGTTTACTAAATAGCCGGTTGCCGGCTGAATAGACACCTTCCTTTAAATATGCTATATTATAAAACTGTGTGTAACTTAATGTATGATGTCTCTAATAGTTCTTGCCCGTCTGCAATTTCTGATTGTTTTATCCAGGCAAGACATATGCACACCCATAACACTAGACATTGCACAGCTAACAATTTTTACATTCAATACTCAAGATTAAACAAACATAATGAATCTTTTGTAAAACTCGGAGCAAAAACATGGAATAATATTTGGTTCTAACTATATCCCATAGATCAGAATCGAATTGGTTGCTTAAAAAATATTATCAACAACTTTTTCTTTTTTTTTCTAAATATAACTCATGAGCATGTAAATATATACTATATACAGGAGTGTTAATTTACTATCCGCCTTGATTAGCTAAGCTATTAGCGGATAGTATTGTATGTTGTAAACGTCTTTTAAATTAATTAAATAAAGTATCAGTATCAGTTTAAAATATGTTCAAAGAAACAACATACTACAATCAAATATAGAGGACCCTACCTTTGTACACCGCCATAATCCAAGCCAACTTCCCCATCAAATATCACCCACGGCCTCGTTTTCAAGTAGTCCGCACTGGGGGCATTGGTTATAGCCCGGAACGAGTCTTCCAACACAGTCTCTCTTCGTACGTTAATGTCGTATTTGTTCGGCACGTTTTTCTTAAAATATGAAGAGAAAAAAAGCGAAAAAAGTTGGAGCGAATCTGAAAAAGGCGATGCATATCAAGTTCTCTCTGTTTATCAAAGCCTCGTACAAATAGTACGAAAAAGAGTTTCATGTTTGATGAAGCATCTGTGTGGAACTCACTACCAAAAGAAATAAGGGGAAAATAATCTCTCTCTTAAGGTGGCTCGATATAGTTATCACAAAAACCCTGCTCAAGAATCGCGAACAAAACCGGGTGATCATTTTTACGCGCAGGTCGCGGAAACTGATTAAAAAAT